GCAATAACTTCACAGCATAATATAGAAACTTTACAAGAAGACCTTAAACAAACAAAGGGGTGGGCAACTACATGACAAATGCACTTGGTGGCTAAAATAAACATATATTATTCACTAGGGAGAGAACCTCTGGGGGAATCCAGGATGGAAAAGGATCTGGGGGTCCTAATAGATGACAGACTCAGCAACAGCAAGCAATGCCAAGCTGCAACAAGCAAAGCCAGCACAATATTACCATGCATAAAAAAGGGTATTTACTCAAGAGATAAAACTATAATCCTGACACTTTGTAAAACTCTGGTTCGGCCACATATGGAGTATGCCATCCAGTTCTGGTCACCAATCCTCAGTAAGGATGTGCTGAAACAGAGTCTAGAGAAGGGTGACAAAGCTAATAAGGAGGCTGGAGGACCTCAGTTACAAGGAATGACTATAAATATTAAACTTATTTACCTGGAGAAAAGACATTTGAGAGAAGATATATAGCAATATACAAATACCTCAATGGTGATGCTAGCATAGGGAATAAACTATTCAGTCTCAGGGAGTATAAGAAGATGCAGGGCCACTCATTGAAACTGCAGGAGAAGCAGATTAACCTTAAACTGTGCAGGGGTTTTTTCACTGTCAAGGGCGGTAAGGATGTGGAACTCACGTCCACAATCAGTAGTGTTAGCGGGAAGTATTGATAGTTTAAAAAAAAAACCTCTTGGATGGGCATCTTATAGACACGGATATAGGATAGGATTTTTTACATGAACACACACACACCCACACAAGTTGAACTGGATGGGCTGGTGTCTTTATTCAACCTCAATAACTATGTAACTATGTAAATGACATGATAAAAACAGAAAAAGATCTGGCGCTCAGAGCATAGATACTTCACAATGCAGTAAAGGGAGTAGGGATAAAAATGAATAGTATAGTTCAACATGAACTAGCAAAAAACCATAATAAGAACTGTAGGCACACAAGTGGTAAATACATAAAGTCCAAAAAGAGTCTCTGTATAATGACATGGTAATTAGTTAATGGCAGCCATGGAAAGCAGCACTAGTGGGTTTTCTATTTATGTGGATTATTTTCTGCAACCCTTAGCCCAGAACTTGTCTATATTAGAGACGGCATTCATCTCCTAGAGATATTGATGCCCTATAGTTGCGAACCCACATACTGTACCTCTGGGTATCATTGGACGTCACATCCCTTTACACCTCAATCCCACATGAGGTAGGACTCCAAGCTGTCCAAAACTTTTTGGCAGAGGATCCACTGATGAACCCCAGACAAGCTCAGTTCATCTTGGATGCCACACATTTTTGCCTACATCACAATTTTGCCCCAAGCTATGCAAGCCTCACGATGTTTTTTTGGGAACTATAGTATATTACCAGCAATAATCCCTTTGCTTCCCATATTGTCTTCTATGGGAGGTACATAGATGACATTATCATTATATGGGATGGCCCTTTTCCTTTCCAAAAACGATGTCAAGCCCACAGCTGGCAACTCTTACCTCCACTATCAGAGCTGCCACTACCATAGGTGGGTCAGAAACATCCCCAAGAGTCAATTTTGTCGACTCGGGAACAACTGTACTAGGGAAGCCAATTATATCACACAGGGTGATATCCTAACTAAAAAATTCCTGGAAAAAGGATGTCCCACTTCTCTCATTCAAGAATCATTTCTCTATTACTACAATAAACCCACTCATAAATCTGAAACAATGATACCATGCAATAATACATAGCCTCTTTCCATTTTACCACACAGTTTCATAGCCAATACAAGAAAATGGAAAACATCCTACGTAAGCATTGGTCCATATTACAGCAAGATCCGCTTCTGAATACTTCCATTCCGGAACATCCCAAAATGTCATATAGAAAGGCAAGACATATTAAAAGTAAGATAGCCAAAAGTAAGATTAAACCTATCCCAAAAACCTAACCCACAATAACTCTCATCCCCCTGACCAGTATGTAACAGTGCAAAAAATCATTATGCCTCACATGCCCCTTCATACAGCATGGGCAAAAATACCTACACTGTAAAAGGGAAAAACTATTCCATCAAAGAATTTTTTAACTGCTCACCGGAGTATGTCATCTACTGTCTGACCTGTCCGTGTGAACTGTTCTATGTGGGCAGAATCATCAGAACGTTCCGCAAACGCTTCGGCAAGCAAGGACGTTTCATAGAAGCAGGGTCTGATAAACACAATGTCCCCAGACATTTCTCAGAACATCACCAATAATCCACTTTAGGACTCTCAGTATGGGTTTTAGAACATATCTCTAAATTATCTTCTATAACAGAATGCTTTAAGTATCTCTGTGAGCATAAAACCTTATGGTTTCACTGGGTAACTTAGCCCCAGGAGGGTTGAATGAGGAAATAGGAATACACACGGTACTTTAACCACCACACCTCTAAATTTTGATTGTATAGGTGCAGTGTTATGTAAGCATCATACACGGTAGTTTTTTCGCCATCATGTCCATATCCCAGCTACATGTACATGTCCCACATATCTTTGTACTATGGTTCATGATGATTTCTCATGCATTTGTAATGTCTCATTTTTTAGTGTTGTGCTCAGCATGTGATTTTATGTTGACTTATTTAATATTTATTCTTAAATTATGTAATCTGTATCTGAGCACACTTCTTACAATAGTATCCCGACTTTATCACCTCCCTTCCATAGTATTCCGTTTAGAGTACTCCTCCCCCCCCCCCCATTTCAACTAGCTTCTCTCCAATATCCTGATTGCATAGGTGCAGTGTTATATGTACCTATGTATCATATACAGCAGTATATATTTTTTTTCACCTTCATTTTTATATGTATATTTTTCATATACTCCTGTACAATATGTGATGATGTTTTTCTAATAATCTTTTGTTCTGCCCAGCATATGATCTTATTTTATATTCATTTCTAAATTATGTATTTATGATTTTCAGCATATCCTATGCTCCGGCATTCCACAATTACTACCCTCCTTATATATAGTCCCTTTCGGACAAATTTGCTTGCAATGTGACCTTTTGTACTGTTCCTTTAAGTTTAGCTGAGCGTTGTTGTCCCATGATGAATACCCACTCTATTTAAGCAGTCCTTTTCCTGGCAATATCAGACCTATAGAAGAAGCTAGAGGCTCTGAGCGTGTAGCCTGTGCTGTGTTCTTGAGATCTTCCGATTCCTATATAGTTATTGTTATTAAGATGTTATATCTGTGCACATAAGCAGATAAGGCTGAAATAAAAAAATGTTGGTACCAGTACTGAGCTCATTAGAAAGGGGCAGAACACACAAAAAGTAAATACATGTGCGTAAAAGTGATCACATTTCTAATTGATGGCCATCAAACAATGGTGTGTTAACACCCGTGAAAAAAATATATATTTGTTTTTTACATATATAGACAGTTCATACACATCCAAGACATCACACAGACACACCCATAATTGAAATCACCATTTGACTCTAAAACCTTATGGTTTGAGAATGCTTACTACGTGTTTCCTGTAAACAGAAGAAAGGAAAGAAGATAATCTCCATGTTTATATCCCTAACTTAACATACTTTACCTTTGTTGGGTAGGTGTATTTATGTATATAGACAGCTATATGCAAACACCTATCTTTATATGTAAAACATCTCTTTCATGAACTCCCTGAACCTGAAAAATATAATTTAAAAACAAAAGTTATTACTCTTTTCCTTTAACACACAAAGAAAGTGAACAATACACCATTGTTACACTTGGTCCCTGACATTCACATTTTCCTCTGGTGAAAATAAAATACTCAGACCATAGACATCTGAATCACACATTATATCTGGCATTTCATCCACTGTTTCCACATTGCTTGTATTCAAGTTTTGTTCCCAGTAAGGTGGAGTCCTATCAGACAACATAGATATGTTGGGGCTCTCTCCTGTATTTTCTGTGTGAATGGAACAGACTGTTTTTTGTAGAACCTTGACCATTTGGCCAAATAATTTTTTTATTGCATTCCTTTCATTCCTGTACTGTACCTCCTCTGCATGACATGCTTCATATTTTACCTTGAGAGCCTGTTGTGATATTTCTATCATTTTATTGCTATTTTCCCAAATACGAATATTAAACTTCAGTAGTTCAATCTCTGTTTTAAGAGCACTAATTGTGGTATTTAATTCAAGCTCCTTTAGAACAAATCTTCTGTGCTGTAATCTTAAATCACTTTCTACAGAATTTACAGCCAAAGTTAAACCTGATGCTATTTGCCTATGACTGGTAACTGTGGGGCCATGTCTATTGATCTTATCTTTGGATACATTGTAATTGTAATGGTAATTGTAATGGTGCCTCCTTTTGTTTGAAAAGGTAACCAATTCTCTTGCATTGTAACTTGCTAGACAGGTATTGTTTGTATTCTCAGGATATTCTTTGGGTTTTAATGACTTGGACCTTCTGAATACATGGAAAAACTTGTGCATACAGTCCATAATGTATGTATATGAGTCTTTAAACGGATCCATGAAAAATCCACATTTACTTTTAAATTTAGGATGGGCATTAGATATTAGAAGGGCTTTGTACTTTGGGTCTTCTCTGTGTCCATTTCTCCCTTTGCCTAAATGGTAGGCTGACCATAGCCTGTTTGTGTAACAAAGTGGATTCTCATTAATTTCCTGCTTTGTTCTATAAGCTGCTTTTAAGCCTATGTCAAAGGGATGTAATACTTTTAGCAATTCATCTACAGTTTCACTGTAATTTGCTCTTCCTTCTTTAAAATGGTCTGGCAAGCAAAACCGTGTGTTCACTTCAACTGTTAAAAGCAAGATTTTTATTTGGTCACTTGAGTTGGTAACTCCTAGTAATTTGCATTGTTGCAAGACATTGTCTGCATGAAATGCTATGTGCACTCCTGACAATAGTTTGCCAATATTATTAGCTACCAGGGACAGACTGACAACTCATGGGGCCCCCGGGCAATAGGGGATCATGGGGCCCCTGTATCCTTGCCCAAACTCAAAAAAGCCTATGAAAAAGGTACCAGGGGCATCTCATGTGGCCCCCTACTGTCCCTGGGCCCTTGGGCAGTGCCTGAGTTTCCAAATGGTCAGTCCGCCCCTGTTAGCTACAAATAGCACACTTTCTAAAGACTGCATGTGCTCACTAGCCATTGTTTGTGCTAGGCTGGCAATTGCTGTTGAACTGCATACATGCCCTTTATAAAATGCAAGAAAAATCTTAAAAGTAGACTATATCTTTGTGCATAGAAATTGATTACAAACTGCACCACCCAGCTATTTGTTATAGCCCATGTCTGTATCAAGCATATAGAGCACCCAATGTTCCTTCTTAGCATTCAAACGAAAACCTATCATTAGTGTGCTTTTATAGATATTGCAACCCCTTAAAATATTGCTGAAAGAGACCACCAAATTTGGGTCCAAGTAGTGGTTGCCATCTGTTGACTAGGTTCACTAAAGAAGTTGGGAATGTTCACATAATACATTGTGCAAACATTAACTTCACTTATCCAGTGAAGTGGGAAGCAAATTCCTGCTTACTTATTTAGTTTACACACGACTGGGTAATTGAAGATATTCAACTCTTTTAGTAAATCAATCACTTTATATCATACCACTTCTGGTAGTCAAGCTGTATCTGTGCAGCACACTAAAATATCTAAATATATATCATATTTATACAGCGGTGACTGTGACATTCACCAAACACTACCTGCAGAAGAATCAGACATTGTACCTTAAATACATGCATCAGCAAGGTACAGCTGCAGTGAATGTTTGGTGAATGTCACAATTAGGGATGAGTAGATGGTTCACTCTGAACCTAGATTTGCTCCAGACTTTGGCTGTTCAGGCTTTTGGACAAAAACCTGAACTTGAGTCCATTTGCAGATGTTTGAAAATCATATATAGAAGAGGTATCCCTACTGCTTTATTTGATTTATATGGATTTATATCACTAGATGAAATAATTGAATTTTTGGGACATTTTTAATAACTTACTTTTCTTCATGGTGTGGTTGTTTTTATGTATGTTTTCATGTTTTAAGGAATAACAAGGGGTGTTATGCACACTGTACTTATTTGATTAGGGGGCAAATATATGTGGTCCCCCTTTTTCAAAAAGTCCCCTGCAAACCCAACCATTTCTCTTTTGGTGGGACACGATGTGTGATTAAAGAAAGGGGATTTTCCTTGCAAATTAACCACCCAATGATGAAAAGCATGTTACCTGGTATGGAGGGGAGTTCATGCTCACTGCTCTTGTTTTCTGGCCAGGCAGGATGATTGTCTAGATGACAGTCTTGTATTCATTCTTATGGGGATCCCCGGCCTTTTTTATTTTTTTGTTTTCTTAATGATGCGCACCTAAAAAAATAACAAAAGACCCATATCCAGGCATGCAGCTTGGATGGCCAGAAAAGACTCATTCCCTTTTATGGGGGTTGTTTACATTAAAAGATACTTTTCTCCTAATGAGTAACCTAGGGTGAGACTCCAGATGAAGGCGCCATCTTAATTATCATCATTATTCTGTCAACCTATATCTGATTGTTTACTTAAGAGAGTAAGGAATTTAAAGAGCAAGAAGCAGAAAGTAGCAATCCACTACAATGCACCACCACTAGGGCATATTCAAATCATCCACTTTTTGGCATCTGGATATGGTCTATTTGGATCCTCTGAAATGGATATAGTGCCTTGGCCAGATGTTTGCTTGAAGGTTTTTCAGGTCTTCCAGGGTTGCACTTGACACACACAACACAAGACTTACAGAATCTGTGTAAACAGTAATTCCGGGTGCCACGTAGTATTTATTGATCAAAGAGTTCATTAGAATCTTGGACAGGTGTGACGCCCCATGTGCCCACTGCACTGTGGTCGGATATAAGGATCTGGGAAGCAAAACCTTCTTCCCCACCATCCACACCCCTTTGTCCTCAACTGCTCCTTTCTGCATCCATTCCTTCCTTTCTTCTTCTGAAGCATTATCCTGGGCTTCCTGGAGTTGGTTGTCCTTGGGCTGATGAACTAACACAGGCACCACCTCACTGCACATCTCTTCATCCTCTTCCTGCTCCCTGACCGCAGCTTGCTTAGCAGCCATGTCTGCCAGATAATTTCCTTTTGCTTCCATAGTGGTCAATTTATTGGTGACCCAATGACTACAACTCAGGGTGGGAAGAGTCTGCAATGCCACCACCTGGCTGAACAGGGCTGCAAAGTTTCCTCACGCCGGATAGAGTACGGGCTATCCAGAATGTCCCAATACCTCAGGGACCAAAAGCCCTGCATGCTTTCCTAGGGTTGGTTTCCTATTGTCGTTCCTGGATCCCAGAAGCCTCCATCTTGATGCAATCCCTTTATGATGCCCTGAAATCTGAACCCTTCTTCCTGACAGAAGAAGCTGTACTTGACTTCCATCGCCTGAAAAAGGCCATTTCCACTGCACCTGCACTAGGTCTACCAGATTATGATGAGCTCTTCAAACTCTTTGTGGCTGAGAGGCAGGATCATGCAACAGGAGTTCTGGCACAACTCCATGGGGGTCGCCTTCGGCCTCTGGGTTATTACTCCTGCAGGCTAGACCCGGTTGCACGAGGTGGTCCCTCCTGTCTGAGGGCTGTCTTTGCTGCTCATCTTCTTCTGGATAAAACGGCAGATTTGGTCTTAGGACATCCACTCACACTTCTGGCCCCCCATGACATTACCGCAATACTGAACCAAACCCAACCAAAACATCTATCTGCTGCCAGGCATCTGCGACTGCAAGGCTCCCTCCTTTTACCTGATCATGTCACCCTGGTCAGATGCACCCAGATAAACCCTACAACTCTTCTTCTTCCTCTTCTGGGGGGGGGGGGGGGAGAAGAAACAGAAGAAGACACCGAAGACAAGGCACCAGAGGATGTGGCACATGACTGTTTGGAACTTATGCAGGCAGAAACTACACATCTACCAACAGTCCATGATATGCCCCTATCAAATCCTGACCTAATACTCTTTGTGGACGGATCCCGCTTTGCAGATAATGCTGGCACCTACCACACTGGATATGCTGTGACTATCGACACAATGGTACTGCAAGCTAGACCTCTTCCACCTTTTATGTCTGCACAAGAGGCTGAACTAAGGGCCCTCACCAAAGCCTGTGAGTTAACAAAAGGAAAGACAGCTAACATTTACACGGACTCCAGATATGCATTGGGCGATGCACTTGATTTTGGTCTAATCTGGAAAATGAAGGGCTTCCTCACGGCAGCTGAGACTCCTGTAAAGTATGGAAAGGCGATCAACCGCCTTATGGAAGCACTCTTACTATCAGCTCAAGTGGTCATACTGAAGGTGAAGGCCCACGGTAAATTGACCACTATGGAAGCAAAAGGAAATCATCTGGCAGACATGGCTGCTAAGCAAGCTGTGGTCAGGGAGCAGGAAGAGGATGAAGAGATGTGCAGTGAGGTGGTGCCTGTGTTAATTCATCAGCCCAAGGACAACCAACTCCAGGAAGCCCAGGATAATGCTTCAGAAGAAGAAAGGAAGGAATGGATGCAGAAAGGAGCAGTTGAGGACAAAGGGGTGTGGGTGGTGGGGAAGAAGGTTTTGCTTCCCAGATCCTTATATCCAGCCACAGTGCAGTGGGCACATGGGGCATCACACCTGTCCAAGATTCTAATGAACTCTTTGATCAATAAATACTACGTGGCACCTGGAATTACTGTTTACACAGACAGATTCTGTAAGTGTCAGGGCTCCAGGTATGACCAGAGGTATGTGGACCGACACAGGGAAACACAGACTTCAGGTATAGCGTGTAACACAATATAATTTATTAAAGACAACACAAACATAAACGCAGTGCAAACAATCAAACTCAACACTTACATAAATATGTACAACCAGGTGCAATAAACCTTAAATAAATAGGTACCAGTGCAGTCAGGGCTGGAGAGGTGGAGCGGTCAGGCAGGCCGAGCCCACAGCACGGATTTCCTCAGGGTGCTGGGTCTAAGTCCCAGCCTGCTATTCACCAGGGCCCCTGATGGTGGGGATGGACTTGGTGCAGACTGGAACCAGGTCGCAACCCCTGAGTGCGTCCGGCTGTGGTAGCGAGTACTGGCAGGGGAGTGCAGGAACGGAGTCTGATGGGAAGAGGCAGGCAGACTTACTAGAGGTGATCCGTGGGGGATGGATGGATCGTCGGGTGAAGTAAGCATAGTCAGACAGGCCGGGTCGGTATCGTGCGGGCAGCGTGGTACAGGAGGAGCAAGCAGAGAATGGTCGGGGTCACAAGCCAGGTTCAGCAGGTAGCGGGCAGCGCGGTACCAAGGATCAAGCAGAAGGATGGTCAGGCAAGCCAGGGGTTCAGCAGGAGACGGTCAGCAGAGGTCAGGATCAAGCAGGGTCAGCAACGAGGCAGGAACACAGGATACCAAGTACAGGGGCTCATGGGAAACATACACCAAGGCCCAGATCACAGGCCTGGTCATTCCTTAAATACACCTCCTGCAATCAGCCCAGGTGTTGGCTGACTACAGGAGTGAGCTTCTGGCTAATGAGAGCACCCGCTGGTCAGCCCTGGTACTGCAGCCCACACGGCAGGTGAGTCCCACCACCAGTGCTGAGTCCATTCCTGACAGTAAGTCTTGTGTTGTGTGTGCCAAGTGCAACTCTGGAAGACCTGAAAAACCTCCAAGCAAACATCTGGCCAAGGCACTATATCCATTTCAGAGGATCCAGATAGACCATATCCAGATGCCAAAAAGTGGACGATTTGAATATGCCCTAGTGGTGGTGGATATGTTCTCAGGATGGCCAGAGGCGTTCACAGTAACCAACCAGACAGCAAGAACCACTGCCAAGAAGCTACTCACGGAGATAGTCTGCAGATATGGGGTGCCCGAGGTGGTTGAAAGCGATCAGGGACCGGCCTTTACTGCCAATGTCACAAAAGAGATCTGGATGGCTCTGGGGGTCACACTTGCGTTTCACACACACCCTATCATCCCCAGAGTAGTGGGAAGGTAGAGCACGTGAATGGGGTCCTGAAGTCAAGAATGTTAAAAATGG